CACCTGGTTGGAAAGAGGTTTTCATTAGCCAAAAGCGTATATTGAGATGTGTCGCTAAAATTCCAAATAGAGAATCGTGTAGAACGGCTTTTAAAACGTTCAAAGTATTGACGCTTTCCTGTCTCTTCATTTTCGAAAAGTGTGTTTTTGTTTTTAAAAATAAAAATACTTTCAAACGGAATTGTGATGTTCATGGGTATGAAACAAGGAAAATGGACAATTTTTATGTCCCCTTTGCCAAAAAGAAAGTTAAATCTGAAACTCCTGATCATCTTGGTCTCAAAATGTTTAACTATCTTCCAGAAAGAATTAAAAATAATATTGATAGACTATCTTTATTCAAATTAGAACTGAAATGTTTTTTATTGGAAGAATGTTTCTATAGTAGGAAAGATTTTATAGATATTTAAATTCTGTGTGAAATGTGTTAGTTTAGTGTTTCGTAGTTTATACATTACTTTTTACTCTTATTATATTTACCATTACATGTATTTTATTATTACTATTTTATTTCTTGTACTTAACTCATTTTACTATAATTATTTTATATTTACTGACTGACAATTCCAACACATGTATATACCATGTCGAAAAATGGAAATAAAGATTGATTGATTGATTGATTGATTGATTTGAAATTGTGCTGATGAATTTTGAAATTCAAATGACTTTCTACATATTATTCAACATAAGAATAGATATGACAGATTTGAAATACATTTGATGCCTTCAGAAACGAAATTGATTTACTTTTTGAATTAACTCACCGGCAAGAAGAACCGGCCACCAAATAATTTTGCAAAATCTTTCGCCCTGTTTTAATTCTTGTCCGATTTCGGTGAAATTTCGAACAAATCGTGTATTCATGTTTCGGAATGCTAGCCTGAATATTAGGTCTTAAGAAATGCTGATGACCTGATCATTATACAGGGAAAAACAAAAGTTACTCTTTCACCCTTAACTTGTAAACGTCCTGTGGAAAAGGTGAGTAGTTAAACTCAGCTTTAATATGTTTTGGATTGAAGTGTGATTCCTTCTTAACACATTGGATTCTGATTCACGTCGAAAACCAATATTCAAGAGAAGATACAAGTGTTTTAAGAAAGTATGTTTTTTTTTTATTAACTATAATTCAGATCCATTCTCCAACTTTCTGCTTCATCATGTTTTGTATCGAAGTGTGATCCTTTTTCGTCCCTTCTTGACACGATGGTTCTAGATTCACGTCAATATCTTTTTCTTAAGAGAAGATACAACCGTTTCAATAAAGTATGGAATTTTTCAATCTTCATCAACAATAATTCAGAACCTATAGAGCATCTTAGGGATGACTCTTCAAGAGCTACGATTCGCCCTTTTAGAAGAATTTTAGGCAATTCTTCAAACCCACTTGAGAAATTTGATCAACCCGATGCCACAGCGGTTGAATGCTGTAATTCGAACTCGAGGAGGGCATACTCAATACTCATTATTGACTACAGTTCTTTTTGTTTGTTTTTTGTAATCAGTGTTTTTTTTTTTGAATGCTAAGAGAATGGGGTAGAAATGAGTGATAATAATTTTTTGAGTTGAACATACCATACTTTCTTGAAACACTCGTATCTTCTCCTGAAAATGAGACATTGGAGTGAATCAAATACTATTCTGATGTAAAAACTTCACTAACACAGTAGCTTCGTCAGGTGATATACTGGTACAATGAACTAAACTAACGTTGGCTTGCTTAACTTTTATATATCTTACTTTCCCAACCTGAAGGATTAGTTACCTGTGGACAGGTACGATAAACCTCCATTTTGGGAAATTAGGAACAATATCTACATTAAATTACGGTATACTGGATCAACTTGAAAGAGTTGAAAGCAAATACATATTATTACTTACTAAGAAAAGAAATTCAACAGTGGTGAACTATTGAGGTCTAATTGATCATTAAGTAAAATGTCAAAATTTTTGAGTTTGTTGATTTCTAATGATTCAAAATGATTGAGTTTCAGTCCTTTATTTTCTACGTGCAGAATTTCGAAATTATCATCAAAACTATGGTTTTCTTCTAATATATGGTTGGCGTATGTTGAATTTGTTTTCTCTTTCATAAAATTCATCTTATGTTCATGAATGCGCTGATTAAACGTACGACCTGTCTGACCGATATATACCTTAGGACAAGATCCACATTAGAGTTTTTATACCCCTGATTTTTCGAATTTAGAAGTTTTCTCTTCATTATTCTCGATAAACCGTCCCAACGTGCTATTTGTTCTATATGCCACTTAAGTCCTGTTTATGTAATTTCTCAGTTGATGATCCGAAATAGGTTAAAGTTCTATAATTTTGATTATTATTCTTGATGGTAGGATAAACTTCTGGAATAGCTTTATGATGAAGTTTTTTAGAAAGAATACTGTCTATCAAATCAACGTTGTATCCGTTGTTGACTGCAATCTGTTTTATGATATTGAGTTCTTTATTGAAATTTACTTCCGAAAGAGGGACATTCACTAGCCTGTGTATCATACTATTATATGCTGCAATTTTATGTTGATAAGGGTGTGTTGAATTATTATGAATAGTGATATCAGTGTGGGAAGGTTCATGGAAAATTGAAAAATCATGTTTATCGTTAATTTTACGTATTGTCAAATCTAAGAAATTGATTGAATTTTCAGTCTCTATTTCTATTGCGAATTCAATGTTTAAAGCATACTATAACGTCATCTACGTATCTATACCAATACAAACATTGTTTTATTAATGAATGTTCATGTATTATTCATTCGCTCCAAGTTGTCCATGAAGATTTCAGCAAGTAAAGGGCTCAGTGGATTTCCCATAATCAACCCTTTTGACGCGGAATATATTTTGTTGTCAAATTGAAAGTAATTTTGTTTGAGATATATCGACAGAAGGTCTAAGATCTCTTGTTTGATAATCGGATTAACATGGTTTTTATCTAATAACTGCGCTCAACTAAAAGTAGGTTATCTTCGGGATAGGTATACTTGGAAAAAGGTATTGTACATCAAATGAAATGAATTTTGAATTTTAGTTATCAAATCATAGGAATTTCTCAAGCTGAATTTTGATTGAAAATTACAATAGTTTTTTATCAACGTTATTTATTTTTCTGATAGTTTAACTGAAGGAGCTGTGTTTTTATGAAAAAGAAAACAAATTCAACATACGCCAACCATATATTAGAAGAAAACCATAGTTTTGATGATAATTTCGAAATTCTGCACGTAGAAAATAAAGGACTGAAACTCAATCATTTTGAATCATTAGAAATCAACAAACTCAAAAATTTTGACATTTCACTTAATGATCAGTTGGACCTCAATAGTTCACCACTGTTGAATTTGTTTTCTTAGTAAGTAATAATATGTGTTTGCTTTCAACTCTTTCAAGTTAATCCGGTATACCGTAATTTAATGTAGATATTGTGCCTAACTTCCGAAAATGGAGGTTTATCGTACCTGTCCACAGGTAACTTTTTTTTTATCGCTTGGAGCGCACGAGAGGGAATCCCTATAATGTTCAAAGAACATCGTGCGTTCCTAGGGAGGATAGGGATAGGAGGTAGGTATTGGAATTTTTTTGAACTTCTGGAGATTATATGTTGTTGGGAATACTTCCTCAGGCAATGAATTCCAGAGCCAAGCCGTTCTATATATGGATGAAGGAGTCTTGATAAAGTGCTGTTCGACATCTTTTGAGGTTGACAACGAAGGGATGTGCTGACTGGGCTTGTCTAGTTCGTCTGACTGGTATTGCTAGTGAAGGGATGATAGCAGAGATTTCCGAAGAACATTTCCCGTGGAAGTATCGATAGAAAAGTGAAAGGTCGCCGACCTTTCTACGGTGTTCCAATGATGTCAAAGAGTGAGTGAGTGTGGCGTCACCCACCAGGCGAATGGCTCTTCTCTGGATGGAACCTAAGAGCATCAGCGTATGTTTTGGTGCTGAACCCCATATGTGAGAACAGTATTCTAGAACAGGCCGTATCTGCGCTTTGTAGATCATGAGAAGCTGTTGAGTTGTAAAGTAGCTTTTCGCACGGAACAAGAATCCGAGTTTTTGTGAAGCAGCTTTTGCGATGGATCTGACATGATTATCCCATGAAAGAGTGTTGCTGATGGAAATACCGAGCATAGATATGGTGGGCTTGGTGGGGATGGTGGAGCCAGACATTACAATATCGGGCATACTGAGTTCCGCCTTTCTAGAGAAAATGCAGGCTTGAGTTTTGGTGGCGTTGAATTCAACTAGGTTGTTTGTCCTTGAGGTTGGGAAAGTAAGATATACAAAAGTTAAGCAAGCCAACGTTAGTTTAATTCATTGTACCAGTATATCACCTGACGAAGCTACTGTGTTATCGAAACATGTCGTGTGTTTGAGAATTTTGTGTAAATCTTATCGTTTGTGAAGTTCTTACATTTGTCCTGGATTTCCATCAAGTAACGGCCGAGTCAATTAAAAAAAATATTTTTCTGTTAAGAAGGGATCACACTGTCAATCCATAGCATAATGAAGCCAAGTTCAACCACTCAATTTTGCCACAGGGCCTTAAGAAGTAAAGGGTAAAATAGTAACTTTGGTATTTCCCTGTATAACGATCAAGTCATCAGCGTTTTATGGAAACAAATATTCAGGCTAACATTCCGGAATATTAATCTACGATTTGATCGAAATTTCACAAAAATCGGACAAGGATTAAAAAACTTACAGGATGAACAATTTGGGCAAATTTTTTGGTGGCCGGTTTTTTGCCGGTGAGTGTAGATTTCAGAGTTTTTGAAATAAAATCGAACAATTTGAAGTACAGTCGTTGTAATTTGAAATTAAATTGATAATATTGAAATACAATTGATACTTTGGCTAATTTGATATAACATTGATAAATTTTGAAATCAACTCAATACTTTTCAAACTGAAATTGAAAAAGATGTAGATATTATTTCATACTTTGAAGCAATATTGTTTATTTGCATATTGATTACCTTGAGCTTGTCTGAAGATGGAAGAGGTAGGTACTTATATCACAGGTGGTTCCAGCACTAACTGCGGATACAGCTATGTTTACAGAATATCAATGTCTTCGAAGAACCCCACCTTCTGGCATTCGAGATCAACGAATATTATTTGTCTTGGAGTCTGTTTTTTTTTCAATCCGTATAAATATAAGATTTGCGAAGGTGTCACGTCGTGAGGTCATAAGAATAAATGGTCATGTTACCTACAAGTTATGCAAATGCACAGGCAGTTAAAATCAGGCTTTGTATACCTCATGTATTTTCAGGTATTTTCGATTCCGAATCTGGTTTGTTTGTGAATTTTATGCACAAATCTGGGTGTACAGGGTGATTGTTTATATTTTACTCGAAAAGCTATCTCAGTTAATATTAGTCTTACAGAAACGATCCATTGGGCAAAAATTAAGAATGTTTTCTGAGCATTCAGAAACTATTACTAGAAATTGGAAAGAATTATTGTAAAATACTGTCTGTAGGTTAATCGAGGAGTTGGTACATTCATTATTCCAGACTTTTTTGGGATTTTCTCTCCTCGTCTCTATGAAATAAAAAATAATAATATGAATACTATTTCAATATACGTGTAGCTAAGACAAATCAGATGTTTTGCCCCAAAATGTCACTGCGTTTGAAGAATTTTCCTATCAGAGAGTCTGAAGGAATAATTCACTAGCTTGTCAGTGACAATTTGTTTGAGAAGGGTTTGGAGAAGAGAAATAAAGGTATATAGAAAAAATATCAAATTTTTACTTATCTTTGAACGTTTCGAGAACGAATCTGCCCGTTTTCAACATAAAAAATGGATTTTTTGTTTTGCAAATCCGTATTCGTCCTGACACTTTTCATTTTCAGTTCTCAGTGACAATTGGTGACATTGGCAATCAAATGAGTTACAGGATGTATTCAATAATTAATCTCGAATTTACCATTTTCATTTTCAGATTTCAGTGGTGAAATATATAAATATATCAACTGAGCAGGAAGCAATGCTATTGTCTATGTTTAGAAGAATGCAAACATAATGCCAATTGACAGTCATATGCCCGAGATCACCTTTCGCCAACGTACTATAAGGAAGTTTTTATTGGGTCTCAAGACCAACAAAGCTTGTGGCTCCGACGGAATGCCACCGATTGTTCTCAAGAAATGTGCTCCAGATCTAACACCTGTTCTCTGCAAATTGTTCAACTACTCTTACGAATTGGGGATATACCACTTCCTAAAAAAAGGCAAAAAGACCCTACCTACCAACTACAGACCGATCGCACTGCTATTTATTATTTCAAAAATCATGGAGGAAGCTATCGAGCTCATGAAATACCTGGAACATTTAGGCTTCCTTCATCTGAGATCAACTGTTGACCTGCTCGCTTACGTCTCACATATATGGCAGCAATTCATTGAAAAATATGGTGAAACCTTAGCCGTGGCACTTGATATCTCCAAGGCATTCGATCGAGTCTGGCACCACAGACTCCTCGCCAAGCTTCCATCTTATGGCTTGCCTCCCCAGCTATGTTCTCTGCTAGCTAGTTTTTTCTCAAACAGGTCTCTTCATGAAGTGGTCGACGGAGTTTCATTTGACTCTCTTATCATAAATGCTAGTGTTCCGCAAGGATCAATTCTAGCACCAACACTATTTCTACTCTATATCAACGATTTGTTGGAAGCAACTTCATGTCCAGTACACAGCTTCGCGGGCTTCCAGGGCTCCAATACCAGCCAGGCAAATCAGAAACGAAAGAGGAAGAAATGTTGACAACGTAAATATGGACTTGGCAACAATTCTCGAATGGGGATCCAATAACTTGGTAGATTTCAATGCAAACAAAAGACAAGCATGCCATTTCTCTAGAAAAGCCGATATCACTGTGCCCAACATGAGCTTGTCAGGAGTAACCATACCTTTGAAGACATCCATTTAGATGCTTGGTATTACTATCAGCAATAACCTTTTTTGGGAAAATCACGTGAGATCAATTGCTAAAAGTGCATCCCAAAAACTTGGTTTTCTGTTTCGGGTCAGGAGCTATTTCACTTCCAGTCAGCTGCTTATGATCTATAAGCCACAGATCCGACCTGTCCTGGAATACTTTTCTTATATTTGGAGTGCAGCACCCAAACATACCCTGAAACTGTTGGATACTCTCCAAAAAAGGGCAATTCGTCTCGTGGGTGATGCCTCGCTCACAAACTCACTCACTGCTATGTAACATCGTAGAAAAGTTGACTCTATTTTATAGATATTTTCACGGACGATGCCTTGGCAGTCCCCGCGAGATTAACCCGTCGAGGTGAGGCTTCGCACCCCTTCGTGGTCACTTTGGAGACCTGCAGAACGTCTCTTTCCAATGACTCGTTTATCCAACGAACATCGAGGCTCTGGAACACATTGCCAAGAGAAGTGTTCCCCAAGGCATATAACCTCCAGAAATTTAAGAAGAACATCGATTCCTACCTCATTTCCCTTGGTTCTCACGATGTTGTCTGAACATTACAGGATATCCCTTCTCGTGGGAACCAGAACATAAAAAAAAACGTGCTAGCAACAGTTGCTACTAACAGACCCACTTTGAATCATAACTCCCGCTAATTGTTTTTTCTGTGGTTCATAAAAAAACATACCAATTCTTCAAAGTATGCCAATAACACGGTCTCATCTATGGCAAAAATTTCAATTTTCCTCTTGCCATTGATTAAAATTAATACTGCATAATCCTTGTCATATTTATATACGAGTTTGGCTTTCTCCGGCAATAAATTAATCAAAGCCTTGTCTGCACTTTTTATGATATTCTTGGGTAAATTTGTATTCATTACCATTATTTCTATAAAACTCCACAAAGAAAGCAGCAATGACATTCACTAAATTAAATGATTACAGCAATATTCATCAACAAAAGTCAAGATATCAACCAATGCCATGCCTACTGTGAGAAGAAAAATGGAAAGAAAATGCTAAGAGCAATGAAGCGCTTTTTTATATCGATATTTCATTATAATTAGATCATTTTATCGTGAAAAATAAAATCTTGTATGCACCACGAGCGTACTAGATTCTAACGCCCATCGGAATGTTACCCTCCGGGCGTTAAGATCTATATCGGGTGGTCACAAAAAAACCGAAGGTTTTTATTTTTTTCGTGGTTTCATCATTACTCAACCGAATTCGAATTTCTTAGCGTCGTTTCATAGCTAAAGGGCAATTGTATACAGTGGAATATTTGAAAATTCCATAATGAACAGAAACAAAATGGCGGATTCTACCAAAGTATTGTCATTTACAAAAACCGCTGGAGAAAAAGAAAATCAGATTTTTTCCAACCTGTACCGATGTCATCTTAGGCTATTCATTTCTGGAGAGAATGAGTACTCGAACATCGAAATCGAACAAATAGTCCAGTAGATACACTCATTTCTTTGCAATTTGTTATGGAGTGAATGTGCATGCTAATCTCGTATAAACGATTATTATTATTTTGCTTCAGGCTTCATGAAAATTCAATCGAATTTGGATTTCTTATTTCGAAGATAAAGAACTATAGTACACAATGGAACATTTGAAAATCCAATAATTGAAAGAAACAAAATGGTGGAGAATCCAGAATTTTTGTGATTTTCAAAAATCTCTGGCGAATAAAAAAATGTTTATTCTTCCAATCAGGAACGATACAATTTTAGATCATTGATTTCTAAAAAGAATGAGCACTCGAACATCTGAATCGAATGTGCCAATCCCGTGTTAAGAATTACTTTTAGTTTGCTTCTGGCATTATCAGAATTCGATCGAATTTGGATTTCACTCCATAACACTTTGTCAAAAAGAATGTGTTTCTCCTGGACTAATTGTTCGATTCATATGTTCGAGTGCTCATTCTTTTCAGAAATCAATGATCTAAAATTGTATCGGTCCTGATTGGAAGAATAAACATTTTTTTATTCGCCAGAGATTTTTGAAAATCACTAAAATTCTGGATTCTCCACCATTTTGTTTCTTTCAATTATTGGATTCTCGAATGTGCCATTATGTACTACAGTTCTTTATCTTTGGAAAAACTCCAAGAAATCCAAATTCGATTGAATTTTTATGAGGCCTGAAGCAAAATAATAATAATCGTTTATACGAGATTCGCACATTCACTCCATAACAAATTGCAAAGAAATGAGTGTATCTACTGGACTATTTGTTCGATTTCGATGTTCGAGTACTCATTCTCTTCAGAAATGAATAGCCTAAGATGACATCGGTACAGGTTGGGAAAAATCTGATTTTCTTTTTCTCCAGCGGTTTTTGTAAATGACAATACTTTGGTAGAATCCGCCATTTTGTTTTTGTTCATTGTGGAATTTTCGAGTATTCCACTGTATACAATAGCCCTTTAGCTATGAAACGACGCCAAGAAATTTGAATCCGATTGAGAAATGATGAAACCACGAGGAAAATAAAAACTTCCGGTTTTTTTGTGACCACCCGATATAACGCACTTGTTATTTATAAAGATATAATCGGTTTGATGAATTAAGTGTTGCTCAATATATTCTTGAGATTAGTCACCCTATTACTCAAGATAATCTGAAAATTCTTTAATAAGTAACAGGCAATAGAAAATTGAATAGAATATTACATAATATTCCCAAAACTGTGATTGAACCAAGACCAGTCTCTGAACTGTAAAATGATTCGGTATTAATTGGATATCACCTATATTTTCTACAATTAGTCTCGCAGTTAATCTCGGTATTTTTTCGTATTCAATGAACCCAATTCAATCTATAGAATTGTTTTCAAATCTTCATCATTATAAGCTGAATTGAGAAAAGATCAGAGAGTCATTAATCTGTCATTGCATGAAAGATAAGAATTGGGATAATTTCATATTTTTCTTATTTTGATGGACATTTGATGCAACTCCAGTATTAGCATACCGATTAGGAATTTAGATTGACGCCACAGTTATCGAGAGGGTTATCAATAAGTACGCCATATACAGGGAGGTCAACTTTACATTGTACACCTAGGTGATCAAATAAATCATCAATATACTTATCTAGTAATAAATTATTTCATTCATCAATTCATATTTGCATCAATCTCAGAAGAAATTCGAGGCCATTCTCCACAGAACATCTTAATTATTTTATGAAATGATTCCATATACAGAAGAGTGCACAAAAAAATGCCAATGCTGTATCTTCTGAGTCATTTGACACAGGATTTCGAAAATTGGTGGGTAGCAAGTATACCAAATTGCTCAATAATTGGCAGAACAATTTTTTTTTCAATCACTTCCAATTTTGCCGCAATCGACCCCAACTTTCGATTTTTAAATGGCACATTCTGTATTTCATCTCCTAATCGGTCAGGGATTATTATGACTGACTGAACGATACTGGGTGTGATAAGTTTGAGTTTCCATTTGCTCAATGAGTGTGACAGAGAAATAAGTTTCGATATTGCGAAGTCACACCCTTCATACGCAAATATCTTCGTAATCGTTTGAAATAACCCTATTAAACCCGGTATCGTTGAATTCGTTATGATAATTTCTGACCAAATATGGAATAAAATACAGAGCATCCCTTTTGAAAATCAAAAGTGGGGGTAGTTTCCAGTAAAACCGGAAGTGATAAAACAACAATAATTGTTTTGTCAGTTGATGAGTAGGCCGTAGTCTATCCCCTCTAGGTTAATTCGGGTTCGAACTTCTACGGTTCTAATAGAACTGTCCCCGCGAGATTAACCCGTCGAGTTGAGGCTTCGCACCCCTTTGTGGTCACTTTAGACAATATTGTATATTCTTTTAACTGTGCTTTAGAGACCTGCAGAACGTCTCTTTTCCAATGACTCGTTCATCCAACGAACAGCAAGGCTCTGGAACACATTGCCAAGGGAGGTGTTTCCCGAGGCATATAACCTCCAGAAATTTAGGAAGAACACCAATTCCTACCCTATTTCCCTTGGTTCTCACGATGTTCTCTGAACATTACAGGATATCCCTTTTTTGGACAGAAAATCCAACAGTTTCAGGGTATGAGTGCTGTACTCCAAATATGGAAACAGTATTCCAGGACAGGTCGGATCCAAGAAGTTTTTTTGATGTACTCCTAGCCTTTGATCTCACGTGATTTTCCCAAGAAAGGTTATTGCTGATAGTAATACCAAGCATCGAAATGGATGTCTTCAAAGGTACGGTTACTCCTGACAAGCTTATGTTGGGCACAGTGAGATCGACTTTTCTAGAGAAAAGGCATGCTTGTGTTTTGTTTGCATTGAAATCTACCAATTGGATCCCCATTCGAGAATTGTTGCATGGGAGGGTCTGAAATTTTTTAAATATTCTGTGATAAACCTCTGAATCATCATTCCACTTGAATTGAAATATTATTTTGTTTTTGGTCCTTTACATGGTTGAATCATTTCTGTGAATTGAATATTTGAATTCTGGCAGCTGGATTCACTTTGATATGCGATATTTCTAGAACAATCAATCGTAAATCTGAAAATATCGATTTATGATTCAAGAAATTCTGTTCTGTACATATTTGATCTCGTGAAATTCTTTGATAAACTATAACCGTTTTCCCGTGGCACATCAATGAATTGGGAGGGACAATTTTTAGTGCCTCTATTTTGACCCTACTAGTGTGACGTCACGAACGCGATGCTCCGACCCGTTACCCATGTGCTAAAGCTAAAACAGATTGTATCTAAGCTTTGTTGAATTGTAGATCATATATAAGAAGCTTTTACCCAGCGAGCACAAAAACATCTCAGAGATGTTAAAAGTACGAGATTTCGAGACATTGAACCTCCACTGCGATGTTCTGTTCACACATGAATAGAACTATTATAGAACAGCCAATGTCCGCCGCAGGCGGCAATTATCGAGATGTCCTTGATATGTCACAAAACTACTTTCTCCCTAGTTCTTTTTAAAGCCTTTTCATGGACACAAAACATTTTCAACGCGTCTTGCGCACATTAAGTCGCTGTAAAAAAACCATTTTCGAGGTAATTTTCTGAAGCCTTTTGTCAAAATGAACTTTTGCATTAGGGTTCCATTTCCCTTGACTGAAAAAATGGATTAAAAATAGATTGAACATAAAAATATTTTCTTGATATGAAATTATCTTCTTAATCGGTTTCTGAGTAGTGCTTACTACACACAGACATATAATTGGAAATAGGTTTCCCAATTTTTGAATTGTTCTCCACAATGCATAATTTTGCAACTGCGGAGAAGCTGTGTATTGATGAATTCGTACTTTTATATATTGATTACACTGAGGCACCGAACAACACATCTTGCATCTGATGGTCATTATTACAAACTAAATAAGTCTTCTAACACAATAAACTTCACCAAATTCCTTTCTGTTCGTTAGCAGCGTGATGTAAGCGTGACACGCTGCAAACGCGAATGCCAATTGCGAACAAGAAGAGCAAAATCGGAAACAAATCAGAATTCATCGTATTGTGACGTAAGCATGAGAAGTTGTGGTGGGGCAAACAAAGAAAGGGCACAAAAGAACAAAAACAATACTTTCAATATCCTTCTAATACCTCTTTGGGAAGTGCATATTACGCCTCAAAAAAACATCCTCATGCCTATATTTCTAAAACATCCCAAAACATCCCAGGGATACCTCTCACTAGGCAAACAAAGAAATGCCACAGAAGAACAACAACAATACTTCAATATCCTTCAAAGACCTCTTTAGTCAGTACATATTACGTCTCGAAATAACATCTTCATGCCAACATTTTCAAAACATCCCAAAACATCCCAGGGATGTTTGCGCTCGCTGGGTATAAGGTGTTAAGTTATTATTCACTCAGATTAAAAATCAAAGAATTTGAAGCAGCTTCCGCCCTTTTGCAATTGACTTAACATGATTCTCCCATGGAAGAGTCTATTGCTGAAAATACTGAGCATCGATCCATATAGTGAAATTTGTGGGAATGATGGTACCAAAACCTGTTCCTCAGACAAACTGAGTAGAATTGAATATTACATTTGTGGAAGTGTTCACCCTGTATATTATCTATACATTATTCAAAATACTGTTAACGAATATTTCATTCTAAAACGGTGAAATATTTTACCATTCCGATTTCAAAATGGAAGCAGTTATTTTTAACGCTAAGGAGAAAAAACTCCAATTGTCTCGAGTTCCAATACCGAAAATTTCCGAGCCTGACCAAGTTTTGATCAAAGTGGCATATTCCGGAATATGCGGCACTGATCTGCATATTATTCAGGTATGTTATTATTTCATAAGTGACAAAAATCGTGTTTTTTTTTGTATTGGCCCCGGCTGTTCGACTCAGAACTTTCCTCAATTGTTTTTGACAGTTAAAAAAAAGGAATAATGCCTTACAGGGGATTTTTTCCTGCTCGAATCATCAGACACATTTTCACAATCTGCAAGAATATACAGGAAGCAGCAAAAATCGTATGAATTTCAAATGGAACACCCTATATATTTCCTCACCATTGGAAAGATATTTCGAACAGCTTCCCAAAAGTACCATATACTCTATACAGGGTGTCCGGAAATTATGCGCAAAAAATCAAGGGGGTGATTCTGCATGAGGAAACATGAGATTTATTTCATATATACTCGGGTCCGGAAATGCATAGTTTTCAAGATACAGTGTGTCGAACTTTTTAGAAAAAATCGGTTATTTATGAATATCTCAAATATCCTTCCACCGATTCTCTCTAAATTTGGCGATGATATTCTTTGTCATCAGGGGATGATTTACCCATAATTGAATTGGAATTGTGAAAACCAGTGGCGTCCCAGGGGCACCCTACCGAATATTATTGTCAATAAAATGTGCGCCACTGATTTTTTCAAATTCTACATCGTCATATCCTAATGATTAACTAAGAATACAACATTTTGGTCTCCTGAATTGTTTTGCAATTTTGCTGCGTTTCCGTGAAAAAAAAATAAATACCAATTCATTGTATAAATTTATGCAAAACAAAGCTTCAAGAAAGGGGTGAAATTAAATGTGTGATCCATGTCCATAGACGTAAAATAATAATGAAGATTCATTTTCTTCAAATATTTCATATTACATGTTTATATTAACGAAAACTGCGCCTCCCTGGAGCGAGAATACATAGTTCTCTATATACAGAGTGTAGAGTGTGTCAAACATGTATCAAGGAATATTTGAAGAGAATGAATCTTCATAATATGTCTATGGACATTGATCACGCATTTATTTTCACCCCAGTTTTTAAAGGAATTTTTTGGCACAAATTCATGCAATAAATTGGTATTTATTTTTTTCCATGGAAATGAAGCAAATTTTTAGAACAACTCAGGAGACCAAAAAGTTGTATTTTAAGTTGGTTAATAGGTTATGGAGATGAAAAATTCAAAAAAATCAGTGGCGCACATTTTATTGACAATAATATTCGCTAGGTTGCCCCCTGGGACGCCACTGACTTTCATAATTCCGATTGAATTATCGCTATATCAGCCCCTCATGACAAGAAATATCATTGCCAAATTTCAAGGAAATCGGTGGAAGGACATTTTTAAAAGTTTTTACACACTGTATGTTGAAAACTATGCATTTCCGGACCCACGTACATATGTAATGAAATTCTTATTTCATCATGTAGAATCACCCCCTTGATTTTTTGCGCCTAATTTTTGGACACCCTGTATATACACTCAAAATGTTAGCCTGAGTATTAGTTTTTGTGAGAAGTTGATGAATTGATCATTATACAAGGAAAAACCAGAGTTACTATGTTCAATTTTGCTTCATCATGCTTTTAAGAATTGATATCAGTCATTTTGTAACAGTCATTTGTATTTTTTGCATATTGCCATAACAGCAAAGTTAACATAGAGTAATGAGGAATGTTCGTAAAACTTCTCATTGTATTTCGTCGAAAAGAATTCAGACAATGGCATCAGAAGTCATTATTCAGGACTATGCCATGATTAAATCATCTAAATGAGTATATTGAGTATATTATTCAGATCAGTCTGTATCATGGATTATCATTGTATTTTCTTCGATCAACGTTTATTCTGATTGATCGCCATTGAAGAACTCATTAAATCAGCTTTCTCATACAGGCGATGGCATTAGCATTCTCTGAAAATCAGTTTATTGTCGACAACCCTGTAAAAAGGCTACTACATCCTTTCTGTAACCGTGAAACATCCCTATCTTCAATGAATTTCGGTAGGGTGAATGCATATCACGAGATTTTCATATTCTTCATTAGGCTTTGAAGACTCAAAAATACACAAAATTCATGATGTTTCGCCCTCTAGCGCCGAATATGGTCATTCGATCGAGTTGGGCCAATGGAGTCTTTTACTTAGAATGACTACAGCTACAACAAATGAAAAATCCAGCCATTTCCACCGAAAGACATTTTCCCGTATAATGTGTGCGTGGTCCTTTACTACCGAAAGAGGGACATCCACTATAGCCTATGTATCATACTATTATAGGCTGCAATTTTATGTTGATAAGGGTGTGTTGAATTATTTTGAATAGTGATATCAGTGTGGGAAGGTTAATAAAAAATGGAAAAATCATGTTTATCATTAATTTCACTTATTGTCAAATCTAAGAAATTATTGAGTTTTCTGTTTCTATTTCTATTGTGAATGTGTGAATGTGTTTATGTTTGGATGAATAGTATTTATACAGGGTGTTTCACAAATGAAGGGAAATATTTAAATGGTACTTAGGGGTCACCAAGGTGGTTCTGAAAATACCATATTTGATAGGATCATTTAACCAAGAATATATCAAATAATCATAATTGAAAGTGGTTTTATAATTTTAATACTCTTGAAATTGACATACTTTTAGTTTCCTGTTTATGATTGTTACGATGAGAATTGGTGGCGGGAAAACAAAAAGCGTCAAATCCAGTTCAGTTTTTTCTCCTCTTCACGATTCCTTTGATGAACTCTGTCAATTATTACATACAGTGTGTTATTTTAATATTTCGAATAAATGTAAATTTTTCCTGAAGCCGAACCTGGATTTTCACTTCGCCCGATAGGTGAATGAATTTAACGTCCCAAGTATAAGCTCCATACCAAATTTTATGAAAATATACTGGGTAGTTCAATACTTATAGACGAATGAATAATTATTCGAAATCGATAAATCGCCCTGTATCTTCGTTATGAAGACTCTAAGACTTATCAAATATGTTATTTTTAGAACCACCTTGGTGCCCCCTATCTACGAGCCTATCTATCATTGAAATATTTCTCATTACCTGTGAAACACCCTGTATATTGGTGAAAACTGTCTAATTGTCTATTGGTTCCTTTACACAGGCTAGAGAATGTCCCTCTTTCGGAAGTAAATTTCAATAAAGAACTCAATATCATAAAACAGATTGCAGTCAACAACGGATACAACGCGAATTTGATAAACAGTATTCTTTCTAAAATACTTCATAATGAAGCTATTCAAGAAGCTCAACATCAAAACATTAGGTACTTTCAGATAACAGAAAAGTAACCTATTTCCAACAAAATAGAAACAAATAAAAAAAATCTCATACAAAAATAATCATATTCCTAATTCTCAATTCGAAAATACTCACAAATATCACAAAATACAGTTACATAGGATTTTATAAAATTTGAGTGATTCACCATAAATGTCCCCCCCTCTAGCTCAGTTATTTCTGAACCGATTGCGAAACTTTAAATATCATCTAAAACGATTTTCGATAGAGTTTTTTCCTACTACTACTACTATTTGATGTTTTTAAATGAAACACCCTCTTTTTCATTCTATTTTTTTATTCTCCCTGAAGAGCTGATTCCATCAATATATCACACTTGAAGTCTAGCGAAAATGGATACAGAGATATAGGGTGTTCAAAATCGAGATTTTTCAACTTTAGGTTTTTTTGGGACGAAACTAAAACTATTCATTATCGGTCAAAACGACTTTCATGTCCGTATCTCAACTTCTGATTCACTGTCTACTGACGTTTGATAATTGGAACAGATACAGGGTGATCAGAATTCTGAATCTTGAACCACACTGTATATGTTCCAATTAAAGGTCAGTAGATAGTAAATTAAAAGTTTGGACAGGGACATTGAAGCCGTTTTGACCAATAATGAATAGTTTCCACATTATAGGGATTCCCTTTCGTGCGCTCCAAGCGATAAAAAAAAAGAAAAAAAAAAAAAAAGAAAAAATCCTCAAGTTGAAAAATCTCGATTTTGAGCACCCTATATCTCTGTAAGCATTACCGCTAGACCCCAAGTGTGATGTATCGATCAAATCATTTCTTCAGGAAGAATCTAAAAATACAATGAAATACAGGGTGTTTCATTCGAAAAAATCAAGTAGTACTCTGTAGATCGTTTGTTCCGAGCACCCTGTATTTCCTAATGCAACAGGAAAAAAAATTCTGAAAAATCATTCCAGATGATTTTTGAATTTTCAAATCGGTTAAACAATAAGTGAGCTAGAGCGGGGGAGATTTATGGTGAATCACCCTGTACGTATTTAAAAAACAGGAAAGAATACTAAAAATGAACAATTGAACAATAAAAATACAAAACGAATGATAAAATTTAACGTAAGAAACAAACTGTTCTAGGCGTCTATAAAAGATTGAATTCGATCTGAATCAGATGAATTATTGTCCTTTTTTGGTTTACACATATCATTATAGTATATGTGATGATATGATGAAAGTTATTCATTCGAAATGTGAGAAAATAACTTGATTTATTTTTTTCAGGGCGAGTTTCCATGCAATGAAAATGTACCATTCACCTTGGGCCATGAGTTTTCTGGTACGGTGGTTGATGTTGGAGCCAACGTTGCCATTTTCAAAAAAGGGGATCGAGTTGCCGTCAATCCAAATTTGTGAGTGCGACCATTTTACATTGAAACTAGAGGCATGTCAAATATTAGAGCGGCAGGTATAGTGCCTTTTGGAGGGTATCATTATTTCTCCATATGCATTAATAGTTATTTAACCAACTAGTGTATTAATGAGGGCGATTAATGATCGAGATATTTTAACGTGCGAGCGAAGCAAGTGCGTTAATGTTCGAGATCATTAATCGCCTTTCAATATACAAGTTGGTTACAACATTTCTCCGTCGACTATATATTTCTCATTTCTCCTGCAATGAAGAAAACTTGGTTCGCGAATTCATCATCCATCCGGAAACTGCTAAGAATCACCCAGTTAGCCTTGTTACTGACATAATTGTCATTTGACATTTGTCGAAATGATCAACATTGGAAATAAATCCCTTGTGTTAGAAAACAGGGATTAAAATCGTGTCAGAAACTTGGAAAGGTCGATGAAATCCATATTTTCGATTTAAATGCAGATTCCGCTAGTTATAGCATAAACAATGAATGCACGCGGTGTATGTTTGGTTGCCTATAAAACAATCGTGCATTAATAGACAAATCGTCCATTAATAGGGATCATTAATGAATGATATCATACACGGAAAAAAAGGATTTGTTGCATCAACAAATTATTTATGCATGAGTTATTTTTGTTGGACTGAGAAATTTTTTGTTGAATCAACCAGATACATGATTATTCCATGGAAGCAGCTTGTTCAAATCAAGAATGTAGTCTAATTGAATCAACAGTATAATATCAATTCCATCAACAAAATATATGGTTCCTCCAAAAACAAATTATGTCGATCCAAAATAATGTCGATGTTGATTCAACTATAAACATTTCGTTGATTTGATCAAGTTGTCTTATTCGTTTCGAACGGATCATTTGCTTGAATAGAGCAACGAAATATGTAATATCAATGAAATATTTTGTCCATTCTACATCAACCTAAATTTTCGCCTCTAGATGGCGATCATTTCGCCTCGTCTATGCCTGCCTCGAGTTCATTATATACGTGAAGCCTGATTCTTCGTGTTTGAAATATCAGCTGGATAAATCGAACTTAGGATGATTAGCAATCCGAAATAGTTTTCCATCAGCTGAAGAGAAGTGAAGACTGAAGATCTATGCTAGGAGTCGACTAGTTTCCTATAGTTTTGTTTATTCTATTGATGTGAAATTTCAGAAAATTCCCGAATATTGAATTTGGTTCAACAAAACAATTTGTCGAATGGATATATAGTTTTTCTTGAATCAACAAAATATTTCATCAAATTAACCAAATATTCCATTGAATCAACCAAATATTTCATTGAATCAACCAAATATTTCTTATAATCAACCAAATATTTCGTTGAATCAACTAGATGTTTGATTGAATCAATATCTTGTTATCTTGAATCAAACAAAATGTTTGTTTGAGTCAATTCAATATCTCTTCATAAACAATTCATGAATGTGCTTGATTGAAGAAGATTCAGAGTTCATGCAAGACATATTTACTTGATTCAAACTTCAAATTCGCTCTGAAACAAGATATAGATTTACTCATTTCAAGATTATATTTTGTCGTGCATATATGACACTTTTATTTGCTCCATTCAATTAAATTTTGCTTGAATCAACAATTCCTTTTTTTCCGTGTATACATTAAACTTAGTCGTTAATACGAGGTCGACGGAAATAGTTATTTAACCAAATAGTGTATTAATGAGGGCGATTAATGATCGAGGTATTGTTCGATATCATTAATCGCCTTTTAATATACGAGTTGGTTACAAAATTTTTCCGTCGACTATATTTATCATTTTTCCAGCAATAAAGAAAACTTGGTTCGCGAATTCATCATTCATCCGGAAACTATAATCACCCAGTAGCCTTGTTACTGACATTAGTGACATTTGACATTTGTCGAAATGATCAACATAGAAAATAAATTCCTTGTGTTAAAAACAGGGATTGAAATTGTTTAACGTTAACGGAAAATCTTCGATGAAATCCATATTTTCGATTGAATTGAAAATTCCGTAAGGTATAGCATAAACAATGAATTCACGCGGTTTATGTTTGGTTGCCTATAAAACAATCGTGCATTAATACACAAATTGATCATTAATAGGGGTCATTAATCAACGATTCCATGAACATTAAACTTACTCGTTAATACGAGGTCGACGGAAAAGTTAATTAACATTATTTGTTCGAAAATTAAGCGTTTCGATAAGATTTCACTCAATCGGCCTGTGAAAATAATTTTTCAGATGTATACATGTTTGTGCTTTACCAAGTACCAAGTAGACCTAAAACTTGAAAACATGCTTCAATGCATTATAAGAACCCGGGAGGAATCTTTCATGCATCATTTTTTAACATTAAAATATATACATAATGGTGGTGGGTGAAATCACGTCCAAAATATATCTTGAATTTGTCTAATTTCTAATTCTTGCGTCTTGGAAATCAAGACAAACTGAATAAAAAAATTTTCAATGAACCTCATTTCACTCAAAATTTTGAGGAAGGTTTGTATGTAGCAGATAATTTTTATATTCTGTTGATTTGTTATTCAGTGAATTTTGCTATTATGATGGCTCACACCTACAGGGCAGTATTTGACTTACCGTTACGATAAAAAATCCCACTGATAATATTACTAGGGTCAATAATTTGTATATTATTGCTGGAATACACAATATCTGTGAGGCACTAACTAGATATAACCATCTAACCCCACTGAACTTATACATATATTAAATATGAGAACAAAAGATAACCGTGATAAAAAATGAGGAGACATAATTATTGGGATTTTTAATAACATTCGAGTACGATAATTGACCCGATTGGGATGACATTTAATACAGAGCGTTTCTTTATCGATTGGGATATAGAAAGGGCAACTAGGCAACTACCTACCTAGAAAGCGAGTTATATGCTTCTTTTTTAAGGTCACCCTGTATATAAACAGACACTCGCTCAGCTCTGCTGTTTACTAAAATGACGTTTATAACACTTGTTACATAATATACTATTATGAATCACTGAAAATTTGAGTGAAAATGTATCTGCTTTATTAGCAACCATATTGGATTGACTGAGATAGAATACATAGATACATCATCTCCGAAACTAAAATACAGGGTGTTGCGAAATTCAGCATCACGATTTCAAGGGCTTTTATTTCAGGTCAAAATAAGACTGTTTTTACAAATATGTGTCCGCGAACGTTTTATTACTAACACGCTTCTATTTGGCTTCACCTTTATATGTATATGTAACCAACTCCTATGGACTCGATTTTGACCCACTTCAAACGGACCGATAGATTTGAAATTTGGCAGGTGTACATAATTCTGGTGGCAATGCATCATGAAATTTTTGTTAAACAAAAAAAATGGCTGCTCCAATATGGCGGACGAGTTTTGTAATTACGCTCCGATTCTATTCGAAATTGGTATCTGGGGGTTTTCGAGGTCGGAGATTAGGATTCTGCCGTCAGAATTGGTGAATTCAAGATGGCAGATCCGATATGGTGGACGAATTTTGTCCGAAAATTCGAGAAAATTCACCGAAAGCCTATTTTTCCCCTATTGCGGTGTGGGGTCCTTTTCATTTTTTTCCTTGGTATGGTTTCTCTCACGTTTCTTTCAATGTTGATCAGGCCAATGACGGGTAAATATCAAGTAAGCTGCCTGAATGTCGAGTTGTTTCTCGTAATGCTAAAAGAACGGCATATTACAATTATTTTATTTTCTACTTCTTTTCAGTTTGGCTACCTATATAAAAGCACGTTTCTTTAGTTTCCTGAACTAACATTCATTTAAAAATTATAATTAATATTTCCAGGGGTTGTTCGTGTTGCGATTTTTGCCATAATGGTCAACCACACTTTTGTCCCTCCGGAGGCTTGAGCAACACCATAGGGCTTTACAGAGATGGAGGATGGGCTGCCTATGTGTTGGCTCCGATAACTCAAGTTCACAAATTATCCGCAAACATCACTTTGGAGCAAGGTATGATGATTATTTTTTTTTTCTACAAGCGTGCGTGATTCACCCTATACCTGCTCGCAATTTAGTTTGGGAAGTGTCATTTTCCCGCAACATTGCGGGAAAAACAAAGATATGATAATATGGCAAAATATAAGGTGATAGGTGAGGGAGTATGAGAGTTTGAGTTTGTTTGTTGCAGTATTAAGTATGTATGCTCAGAATCATCCATCAAATTGTACTATTCATTGTGAAAATTAAGAAATATTGAAAAATAAAAATTGATTATTATAAAAATCCCCCTATAGATTTGGATTGATCTGATGGGAAACGATTATTGTTGTCATGCCAATAAAACCTCAAATGAGTTTGTAATTGTCGAAGTGACAAACACAGCAATACTGTCATTTTCGATTCAGTGGAATTGCCACAATGTGATCAAAAACTTTCAGCTATAGGGATACGATACAGATGCGTTATTGCCAACGAAGTCTTAAGAAAGGTATGAGAAGCTATACACGCGTTTTATTGAATGGTGCAATAATAATATAAAGAAATGAAATTACCGAATAAAGAAGATGTATTTTTGGCTCATTTCCTAGAAGTGTCTGAAACCTAGAGACTACCTTATGGGCCTGCTGGCTTACGCAAAGAACCTATACACAATGCGTCAAACTGTAAGTTCGTTACTAATAATCAGTAGATAGAGAATACATTTCTCTTGTTAGTTGTTCCTAAATGAATGAATAATTAATTGAACAAATCAAGCAATTTCCTACGCTTGTAGAAAAAATGTTGTTCCTAACTCATGCAGAAAGTGTCTTTCCCGCACTCGACTGCTTGCCCGAACTCCGCTCCGGTCGTTCGTATCAACGGCAGTCGTGTGCGGGAAAGAATCACTTTCCGCACTTGTTAGGAAAATCACTATTTCATTTTTATCCATTTATTCACGGGATAAACCCCATTACAGTATAAATTTTGAAAATATATATATATAAATAACACATTTGAATGTGCCATACACATAAAGTATAAGTATATAAAACGTATGCCTACCCAACGATGGCTATGTTACTAGTTTACAGATGAATATATGGTAAAGATGAGACTAGAAACCCTATGAAACTAACAATAACAAATTCGATGACTAATCAAATGCCACTCACTTCTACTTACAAGCTATTCAATGTTTATTTGAACATATTGTAAGGCAATCCACATATATAATGATAATAATAATAATAATAATAATCGTCTTTATTTCTTTCTAATATAGGTAATTTACATTATTACATGTTGTTCTTCAAGAAAAGGGCGGAGTTCAATTTATATCAAGATCAAATCTCTAGTAATTGCTCTTTCACTCAACCCTGGTAGTACTGCACTGAGCGAGGAGTATATAAACAAAATAAGAAGAAAAAAAAATATGTTGCTAAGAATTTTATCGCAGAAACCTTCCGAGAATGAACTATCGGGATTGTAGAAGAAAATTATATAAGTATATCTACTGTTGGGAAAAGATATATTCTTTAAGTTTTGATTTGAACTTTTCCAGTGATTGCTTCTTCATGTCTGTGGGTAGAGAATTATAAATATTGCATATCTGAGAAGAGAATGAACGTTTGAAAAATTCAGGTGTAAGGGTACCTCTGAACCTTATGTTCAAATTGTGCACGTCCGAACGAAAAGTTATTTTTCGATGTAAATAACATGGCTTTTTACTCAGAACAATTTTATGAAACAGGCAAGCAGAATGAAGAAATCTTCTTTTCTCCATGTTCAACCACCCAGCCAGAATTAGTTTATTAGTGATCCTCTCGCGTTTTCGCACACCGTATATAAGTCTCAAACAAGAATTTTGTACTTTTCGTATTTTTGCACTGTATATCTGAGTAATATTTGGACCATAAAGAGAATCACAAAAGTTGGATATTGATAATACCATCGTCTCACATAATAATAATTTTATATTCGATGATACCGAATTTACTCACCGATAAAAGGGTATAACATTTTTAATTTAATCTGCTACCTGGTAGGACCGAATTTACCATCACCCAAAAATTCGTCTCATACCCAATATAGCGCTTATCGATTGTTTGGTGGATCAATTAGAGAAAGGGAAGAATTTCTTGAAATAGAATAAGGGTATGGAGGAGCCTCTCGTACAGCAGCACTTATCCAGTGAGATAGTTGTGTATACCTTGTGTTAAATTTATTCCTAAATAAGTGTTTCTTCTTGTTGAATGATCTAGTTCATAAATAAACAGTGTCGTTGTTCACTTTCTTCCCACATGTATAATGTTACAATTAATCATTCCAGAATTACGTCATTTGACAGGTTTGCTGAGGGGCAAACATTATATTTTGCCAAGATCTGTCATACGAAACCAGAATTAGTGGGATCATTTTCCTTGGAATCCTAGTAGGAACCAGAAAGAATTTCATAATTTTTTTTGGTAAATTATTGTTTTATTGTGGATGTGGCAGGGATGGCCAGGGCTATGCTCATCAAAGGTAACCTAACAGATAGTTTGTGTGCCCCTCAAGAAACCATGTCAAAATCACGTGTTCTAGAATGGTCAATATTGTAATTATATTGCCCTGAGAGGGGATGGAACATCATTAAGTAGGCAAGACTACAACAATCTCCCAGTATCACAAGTTCCAGATTGTTTACTGAAATTCAATTAGAGAGGTGATGATTTAAGAACAATAGAAGTGTATGAAAGACGATAAAATGGCCGAGAAGCCAAGACAACTATAATATGATAAGGAGCCGCAAGGCAGAAGTCAGTCAGTCAAGCAGTCAGTGTCAGTGAGACAGTTGTTTACCTCGTGTTTTCTATATTTTTTGACGTCTGTAGAAAAAATGTTGTTTGCAACTCGATCGCGAAATACTTTGGTCATCATCTCGACTATTTCAGATCTCGATCACCAAAGTAGCATTTTGCGCTCTAGGTACAAAAATAACTATTTTTCAACGGACAAAATGGAAAAAATTCATAGGTCCTAGTTGAACATAAAGGAATTGAAAAAAATCTGTCAAATTAGATGAAATATAATGTTACTAAGGTTGGGCACTAATAAAGGATTGAACCGCTCGAAATAAGTAGTAGTGATAAGTCTGTGATAAATAAGTGTTTCTTTCAGTCAAATAAATCAATTCATGAATAAATGTGTCGGTATTCACTTATTCTGCATACGAATAGAATAACCTAACAATATGATACATTCAGGTATGATTTTCAGCTGCCCTTGCTGAGCCCTTATCTTGCTTGGCCCATGGATGGGACATCATCAGCCCAATAACGGTCGGAATGAAAATTCTGGTTACAGGAGCCGGTATCATAGGAAACTTATGGGTCAGTGTTCTTCATCATCAAGGTCACAGGAACGTGACCGTTTCTGAGCCGAATCTCAGCAGACTACAACACCTAAAAAAGCTGAGTAAGTTATACAGAGGGTGTTCCTAAGAGGTCTTCGCAAAAACTTACCACATATTCCGCAGATACCCTGTATGTGTTATATATTTCTGATCTTGTACAAGGAATATTTTTCAATTTGGCACTTTCCGGGTTCCGAATGTAATGAAATATTGTGGAGATTCAAAAATCATTGTAAAAACTCACGGAGGCTGAGGAGGAAGCAAAATAATAAAATATACAATTTATCACTGCAACAGGCCTACCAGCATAACTGAAGCAATTCTGTGAAGACAAAAAAAAATCATGACGTCAACTTGTCGATGACAGATAGTTGACTTTGTATAAACTTCATTACGACCTCTAATTTCCGACGTCCCTAACATTCAAAATGGACGCGTACATATGCTCTGTGGAAAGGAAATTGGTCTAGGCTCGCCCTTGGTCCTTAAACAATTGATAAACCTTGCATTAGAGGAGATTTCATTCTATTTTTTTCACAAATGAAATATTTGATTTTCAGATACCGGATTCCAGTTAATTACTCCCGAAGAACTGAAGAAGAATCAACAGAAAGATTCCAATTATTTGTTCGATCTCATTATCGATTGCAGTGGTTACCCACCTGCTATTGAACATGCGGTATCTCTGCTGCAAAGAGGTGGTAAACTATGTTGTTTTGGAGTAGCACCACCACATGGAGAAATCAAGTAAGAATCAAAGACTATATAACCGTTTCAAAAGTATTAAAAACTCTATTCAATATAATATAACATCATGGTAGTCGCAGTCATTGTCATAATTGACATCAAATTATTTAATAATCATAATAAGAAATCATTTTGCTGTGTACATATTACAATACAAGTAAAATGTTGAGAGGCGAAGTCTAGTTAATGTCTATCTGCCAGTAAAAAGGGACCCACAATGGATTTCTTAAACATATAGTAACTGAATTACATACAGTGTGACCCACTTCTAATGGAACCACCCCTGTATCTTACGTAATCGTTGGGTAAGGATCCTGAAATTTGCTGGAGCGAGAGATATACCAAAAATGCACTCTATGACCAAGTGGGGTCATCTTCAGTGATATACACTGCTCGCTAACAGCCATGGAACCACCCCAATTTCCGGAAAATGATATTAGGAGTTAAGATAGGTCGAAAATCACTTCAGATTCGAAATCAGGACGCCCAATTCACTAACTATTCATATTTTTCCTAGAAGATTTTCAGTTCAGAAAAATTAAATTTTCATGGAAGAACCCCCGTATCTCACGTAATTATTGAGGTAGGGTTCTGAAATTTGCCGGAGGAAGAGAAAGTCCAAAGATAGAGTCAATTACGTGAGATACGGGGGTGCTTCCATAAAAAATGCGACAAAATTTTATTTTTCCGAACTGAATATTTTTCAGGAAAAATTTGAATAGTTAGTAAATTGGGCGTCCTGATTCCAAATCTGAGGTGATATTCGACCTATTTTTACTCCTAATATCATTTTCCGGAAATTGGGGTAGTTTCATGGCTGTTGGCGAGCAGTGTATAATGTATATCACTGAAGATGACCCCACTTGGTCATAGAGTGCATTTTTGGTATATCTCTCGCTCCAGCAAATTTCAGGATCCTTACCCAACGATTACGTAAGATACAGGGGTGGTTCCATTAGAAGTGGGTCACACTGTATATAAATACTACATTACATCAATATATTTTAAATTTATATGCATGCCCCCCCCTCCAATCCCCTAGAGCCATATACAAATAGATAAATTCATATAACATATAGCAACCAATCCATCAGATGAGCTAATACTGCAAACTTAGAACCTATTCTTCTACAGTCTTCTACTAATTCATGTTTGTAATGATGTTCCAAGTAGCTTAACGATCATGTTTTGTAACCATAAGACAATAAGATATATACATAACTACATTTCAACAGTATTTTGATACTTTGGTAACACCATGGATGAGTTTAGTAATGGTGAATATGCATATGTATGGACTTGAAGAAACTTTCAAGGTCAACAACTCTGTAACGAATTGCAAAAGACATTTCTTTATACCTATATGAAGTACTAACATTATTTTGGCACACTCCATGCACATCTTGTATACATGATGGATTTTATTAAGAAATTGTCCGTTTCTTCTCATTTTCTCAACATTTTATTTTTTTCGACCATACAATATGGAAAATTGACTTAATGAACTTAATGATAACGAATGAATTTTTCGCAGGATCAAACCATTCGATATTTTCATGAAGGAGCTGAAAATATATGGTGTTCTCATAAACCCGTTCACTTTTCCCAAGTCTTTCGGACTTCTTGAAGCTATGGGAGATAGGTATGTAATGATAATAATATTGATGATTCTTCGGATTCTTTCTAGGGCAACATTTTTTTGTTATGGAAAGTTGAAGTTTTTATATGGAATGTCCTTAATATCTGATATATCCATGAAACAAGAGAGTTATTGATGAAGTCGATAAAGAGAGAGGAAGTCATCAATTCAATTTGTTTGATATTGAGCGAAAATCGATCCACAGGATGATTCGAGATAATGTTGTAACATTCGAAAAAATGGGCACATACATAACATTGATGCCTTAAAAAAATTCAAAAATTTCTACATATTATTATGATTGGGATAATTTTAAAGATGCCCATTTTTGTATTGGGTCTATGTTTAACCTGTAGACCTTACGGGTCTATTATGGGTCGCAGTGGAGGGCTGATGCTAGACCCACTGGCATTGAACCAAATCTAGTTCATTTTGTTGTGGAGAAATAGGTTATGATTTACAAGGTTAATCATATGGAGTATAAAACCATATGAAGGGCTGATATTCTGATTACAACACTACATATTCAATTCTCCCTTTTTTCTCAAGATAAATGTCGAAATTTCGAGATAAGATAAGTGTCAAAATGTCCAAATGTTGGGATAAAAGTCGAAATTTCGAGATAAGAGCGGAAATTTTTAGATAAAAGTAAAAATTCCGAGATAAAAGTCGAAATTTCGAAACAAAATAAGTGTCAAAATTCCGAGAAAAATGTCGGGATAAAAGTAGAAATTTCGAGATGAAAGTCGAAATTCCGAGATGAAAGTCGAAATTTTGAGGTAAATGTCGAAATGTCGAGATAAAAGTCGAAATTCCGAGATAAATGTCGAAATGTCGAGGTGAGTCGAAGTTTTGAGATAAAATAAGTGTCGAAATTTCGAGATATATCAAAATTTCGAGATAAATGTCGAAATGTTCAGATTGAAGTCGGAATTTTGAGATAAAAGTCAAAATTTCGAGATAATGGTCGAAATTTCGAGATGAAATAAGTGTCGGAATTCCGAAATAAATACTGAAATGTCGAGATAGAGTCGAAATTTTGGTATAAAATTCGAAATTCCGAGATAGAAGTAAAAATTTCGAGATAATAGTCGGAATTTCGAGAAAAATTCCGAACTTTCAAGAAAAAAGTCGAAATTCCGAGATAATTGTCGAAATTTCGAAATAAAATGAGTGTCGAAATTCCAAGATGTCGAGATAGAACTCGAAATGTCGTGATAAAAGTCGAAGCTCCGAGATAAATGTCGAAATTCCGGTATGAAGGTCAAAATTTCGAGATAAAATAAGTGTCGGAAATCTGTGATAAATGTCGAGGTGAAAGTCGAAATTCCGAGATTAAAGTCGAAATTTTGAGGTAAATGTCGAAATGTCGAGATAAAAGTCGAAATTCCGAGATAAATGTCGAAATGTCGAGGTGAGTCGAAGTTTTGAGATAAAATAAGTGTCGAAATTTCGAGATATATCAAAATTTCGAGATAAATGTCGAAATGTTCAGATTAAATGTCGAAATTCCGATATAAAGGTCAAAATTTCGAGATAAAATAAGTGTCGGAATTCCGTGATAAATGTCGAGATGAATGTCAAAATTTCGGGATAAAAGTCGAAATTCCGAGGTGAAATTCGAAATATCGAGATAAAATAAGTGTCAAAATTCCGAGATTGTTCTAAAATTGTTCTATCCGTCATTCGGTTGCCCCCTTACGAGCAACCCTCAGAAGTCTTCGAAAGTCTTGTGCGAGCAAGGAATGACGAAATGTCCAGATAAAAGTCGGAATTTCGAGGTGAAAGTCGAAGTGTCGAGATAAAAGTCAAATTGTCGAGATAATAGTCAAAATTCCGAAATAAATGTCGACACGTCGTGATAAAAGTCGAAATTTTAAGATAAAAGTCGAAGTTCCGAGATAAGAGTCGAAGTTCCGAGATAAAAGTAGAAATTTCGAGCTAAATGTCGAATGTCAAGAAAAAGGTCGAAATTTTTAGATAAAAGTCGAAGTTCAAGAAAAAATTCGAAATTTCCAGATAAATGTCGAAATATCGAGATAAAAGAGGAAAGTTCGAGATAAATGTCGCAATATCGAGATAACAGTTGAAATTTCTAGATAAAAGTGGAAATTCCGAGAAAAAAGTCGAAATTTCGAGATAAAAGTCGGAATTCCGATCGACTGAAAAAACAAAAGAGCCGTGGCACTTTTATGTAAGCTGTTCCGTATAAAACGCCTTCTCATTCTCAAACGATTATTACACAACGACATGGAACAGACCGTGTTCCAGTATCAGACTAGTATTTTTTATAATATCTGATTTTGAAAAAGGGTGAAATATCCAGATGTGAACCACTAATCATTAGTCAAGCAGTTTATTCTGAACTTAATCAGAATCCCAAAAAAAGATTCGCGAAACTAAAATGATATTTTCGAATTTCCAATCATCTGAATCTTCACATAAAGCAACTTTTCTTCTGAAAAAGTTTCTCATGTTTTGCAGAACTCACTCTGATGAACTGAATATTCATTTTGGAAGTCGAATTTTCTCAATTAGTAGATATGAAAATCAAACGGTGAGAAGTTTCGAAATTTTTCTCCAGCCTTTCCTGCAGTGCACTTATCTACTATATAGTGTGTTCTTCAATGACGGGATATATATAGGTCTTCTTGGATATCAAATTATTTCATAAAACTGCTTACAAATGTGTTTTACAATTTTCTCGGGCGCGGTGTATTTAATCAATTTTCATTACATCAACTATTGAATCTTATCAGCCATGTGGGTTCTGTGTAGGCTTCATTACTGACTACATACGCCACCTTAATTAGGAGTAGCACTGTTGATTGGAACCCTTTGGAACGCAACTGTGAATCGTGCGGTATCATCTCAGGCCGAGGCTAGGAAAATTAGAAAGTTTAATTCGTTTTATGAATAAAAATTCTCTCATAAACGTCTTGATCTTCAATAGGTACTTTTTCGAAAGATAAAAATAGAATATAATATATATAGATACATGAAAACCATCAGCCAATACACATGGACGTTCGATGCGGATATCAATTGGACAGAACCGAGAGACTTCCTACCGCCTGTATACAGGGTGTTTCTTGAGTACGTGTAGAAAATTTCGTTTCTGAGATACAGGTGGTCCAAGTTGAATTCTTTTTTCTGTTTTTTGTCAATAAATTTCGAAATAATTGTGATATCGGAATAAAATTTGACATCTAGCGGTATTTTCCAATGACAATATCAAATTTTATGTTGGTTTGTCTCTTACGTGGGGGTGGCGCCACCTACATGTCTTTTGAGTCTTCTGAAAAGTCATCACTTTTTTGTGCGTACCTGTACAACGTTTCATAGTAGAAAAATAGATTTCGCCTCTAGTGAATATCAGAAAAGATACGCCAGTGCATTTTTCTTTCCTCATTCAATATTCTTCATCCAACATTGGAATGTAGGCAAAATAATTTCCCTTACTCAATAAATCAGTTTTGAATTCCAACTTCTTGTCATTCCAAATTACTTGCATTGATCATTCCAAATCTCAATAACTCGGAAACACTCGCTCGCAGCGACCTCTACAATATATTTTTTCTTTAATTTCTATGAAATGTTATACAGGTGCGCACGTTATACAGGTACCCCCACGAAAAAAACAAACTAACATAAAATTTGATATTGTCATTGAAAAATACTCCTAGATACCAAATTGCATCACAATATCACAATTATTTTGAAATTTATTAACAAAAAACTAAGATAAGAATTCAACTTTGACACTCTGTATCTCAGAAACGGATAACTTTCGGACATGTTTATACGAACTTTTTTTTTGATTTAGACGTCAGCAACATGCTCCTGAATTTTCTACACGTACTCAAGAAACACCCTATATATACGCTTATGGAAATATTGTCATTTGTGTGAATTTTTATATCTCGTTCTAGGTACTTGGTCTATGAACATTTGGGAATAAAAACATTCGCACTCAAGGAATACAAGGAAGCGATACAGTTACTGAAGCAAGGAACTATCGCCAAAGCTGTGTTCAAATTTGAATATAATGAATTGAATAATTATAAAATGACAAACAATTTTTAATGAAGGATATTCAAATGTAAATATTGAGCTGAATAAAATTATGGTTTTAATCTTTTCTTTCTTCATTTCAAGAAATAATAACTAAAACATACTATATTATGGAAACTAAACAATAAATTTACGACTCCGAATTGGTGATTTACATCAAATATCAAAAATATGGAAAGCATTCAAATTACGATTAAAAAAATTATACTGAATGAAATTTGTTCCGTTGATAATATTTCTAATTTTCATTTAATTCGTCTTGCAAATATTGTATTTTAATTCATGAAAGAATGAAATGTGTGGTTGATTTTTGCTTTAAACACGAAATTCTATGTCTCTGTCTCCAATTCACTCTGAAGGATTGTTCCTATTCATCTTCAATGGAAATAACATCATAATGGTAGGTATATGAATAAAAATGACACATGCATATTTATTGAAGTCGGATAAAAATAATATGTAAATTTATTTGGTAGTTGATTTCTGTACGTAGTTGATATCTTTATTCATCCTGAATTAAAATCGTTTTCAATTTTTATGGTACATAAAATAATATGATACTTGAATTTCTATGATAGTTAAATGAAAATGTTACATGGATTTATTCGGTACATTTAGATATGATACTTAATTTTCATGGTTCTTGATATCTTGGATGTTTTCCGTTCATGTTGAATAAAAATTGATTTAATTTTTAATGAACATGAACATGAATTAATATGATACTCGAATTTATATGGTAATAAGAACTGTATTCAATTGTTATGATACACGAATCAATAATGATACATCAATTTCTATGGGAGTTGCTTTTTTGTGTAATTAGAAGTGATAACAATAGAGATTGTACCATAATTGGCGTAGAATACAGAGTCTCTAAATTCCACGAACGAAAAATAGAGAAAAAAGTTCCCCTTGAGAGCCAACTTACACTCACCGACATAGAAACCCGGCAAAAAATTAAACAAAATCGATCGCCCTGTAACTTTTATAATTCTTTGCGATTTTGGTGAAATTGTAGATTCAAGATTCGAAATAGTATCCTGAATTTCAATTTCAGAAAAGCTGATAGCTTGATCATTATACAGGAAAAGCAAAATTTACTCCTTCATCCTAACTATTCAACGCGCTGTGGTAAAAGTAATTAGTTAAACTTAGCTTCATTATGTTTTGAATGTTAGTTCATAATGCTCCTGTTACATTCAATTCAATCTTGAAATATATTTTACCAATGTATTCGAATGAAAAATGGTAACTCAATCAGTTGAAATTGAACCGACAAGGAACATGTGTGATGTATCTAATGTAATTTCATAATATACACCTAGGTATCCCTCAAATGTGATTTTCAATAATAATTCAGAGTTATATGTTGATAAGAAATAGAACTGTATTTCATCAGGAATTAGAAAGTTGACCAAAAGTCCGCATTCAAGTTGAGATTATCGTTTCAAATGACCCTGTATATCGGTAGTATATTCCATGTTCCATCCAACAAATCCGTGTATTTCTGATATCAACATTATTATTATTAGTCATAGATGAATACTTGTTTCGGAAATTGATAAGATTGAAAGGTGACGCAACTAATTAGTCATGGTGATGAATCGTGTCAGTCTTATGTTAAATGTCATGGCGTACGGTCTACTTAAAAGTGCTCGTATCAGTTTCAAGCAAGAATCTAGTCGCTAGTGCATATCGCGAAATAAACTACTCAACACTAATTTCGTCGCACACCAAAATGTCGCCCCTGTTATAATGTGAATAACTTTTTTCAGTTTAGAACAATTTGAATTTGGTTCACACTGTTCGATAGCCCAGTCCTTCAGCTATAATCTCGTACTTCATTGAAATATAAGTTTATTCACATAAAATCTCTACATGGTGTTTTCCGACACTGTGCAAAATTTCGGAATATTCAAAAGGCTCTCAAATGGTGAAAAACATTTTTTTTCTCAACTTCGACAACAGAGGCATGAAGATGATCTCATTACCTCGAGATATTTCGCGAATCAACTTCCTATCTCTCTTATTTACAGAGTGATCTCAAAAAATCAACTTTTGGTTTTGCAGCCATAACTTTTTTCCACGTCAACCGATTTTGGAAATCTTAGGCTCATTTTGAAGATAAAACTTCAGATGAAGAGATCTGTATATCAGAATTGACTCAAAATGGCTATCAAAGATCTAGAGTTTTCTTGAAAGTGACCCAAATCTGGAACGCCCTTCGAATCTTGGTTGGGAGGAGAATTGAATGAAAATCAACTTGTTCTCGGAAAAACAATTCATTCTGGTTGCGTCCATATTTTCCTCGCTCTCAGTACTCAAGAATGTGCGTGAGAAAACACAATTGAAACATGTTCTTGCAAAAACATCAGACCATTTCTCCTCTGTAATGCATGACCCGTAACCAACGTTACAAGAATGACAGTAAGTGACTGAACAAGTCAGGTTAGACGTCGTTTTCGAATCATAAACAGATTTTGATAGTTCGATGCCGCATCTAACGCCCGACCAGTTGGAACTGATTCCACAAATGAGGGAACAAGGGTTATCTTTCCTCCAAATCGCGGATCTGCTAAACACGACAGCCCGATCCATTCAAAGGGCTTATCTCCGACTGGTTATTACTGTCGATTCGTTCGGCGCATTATTGCGACTGAAAACTTTACGTAATTGGCAAACTCTTTTCGTGAAACTTTCACCATTTTTGAAATGCGTTTTTACAATAAATAAACGTTGTTTGCTTGAATACTTCTCCATATTCTTAAATCGCATGTTATGTACGTGACAACTGTTAAAAAAAATCACTTAATTGAAAAAATCAAAATCCGTTGCTCTTGTTGGTACACCATTTATGATGAGTCTCAGCTGGTCGAGTTTGTCAGTCACTCATTGTGATTCTGGTAACGTTGGTTACGGCGGGCCATGCATTACAGAGGAGAAATGATCTAATGTTTTTGCAAGAACATGTTTCAATTGTGTTTTCTCACGCACAATTCTTGACTACTGAGAGCGAGGAAAATATGGACGCATCCAGAATGAATTGTTTTTCCGAGAACAAGTTGATTTTCATTCAATTCTCCTCCCAACCAAGATTCGTAGGGCATTCCAGATTTGGGTCACTTTCAAGAAAACTCTAGATCTTTGATAGCCATCTTGGGTCAATTCTGATATTCAGATCTCTTCATCTGAAGTTTCATCTTCAAAATGAGCCTAAGATTTCCAAAATCGGTTGACGTGGAAAAAAGTTATAGCTGCAAAACCAAAAAGTTGATTTTTTGAGATCACTCTGTAAATAAGAGAGATAGGAAGTTGATTCGCGAAATATCTCGAGGTAATGAGATCATCTTCATGCCTCTGTTGTCGAAGTTGAGAAAAAAATTTTTTTCACCATTTGAGAGCCTTTTGAATATTCCGAAATTTTACACAGTGTCGGAAAACACCATGTAGAGATTTTATGTGAATACCCTTATATTTCAATGAAGTACGAGAATGTAGCTGAAGGACTGGGCTATCGAACAGTGTGAACCAAATTCAAATTGTTCTAAACTGAAAAAAGTTATTCACATTATAACAGGGGCGACATTTTGGTGTGCGACGAAATTAGTGTTGAGTAGTTTATTATACATGATTTTTCACAGTTAGCTGTAATTAGACGTTTCTGGCAAACCAAGCAACAGATGAATATGAAAATTTGATGATATGCATAAATTTACATGATCTAGACGTCTTAAATATTTCAAACGAAGCGGCGTTGTCACTCCAGTAGCAACAACTATGACTTTTCTTATGGAACACTTTGTATTTCATTGCATTTTTAGTCACACTAGGGGTTTAGCGGAAATGATACCATAGATATAGGGTGTTCAAAATCGAGATTTTTCTACTTTAGGATTTTATTTTTTGTAGAAACCCATATTATTGGTCAAAACGGCTTCCATATGTCTCTATCTCAACTTCTGATTTACTATCTACCTACATTTGATTGAAACAAATACAGGGTGGATTCATAATTCTGGTCACCCTGTATATGTTTCAATTGAATGTAAGTTAATAGTAAATCAACAGTTGAGATAGGGACATGTAAGCCGTTTCGACAAATAATGAATAGTTTCGACACAAAAAAATCCTTAAGTTGAAAAATGTCGATTTTGCACACCCTATATCTCTGTCATCTTTCGTGCTAAGCCCCAAGTGTGATACATACATGAAATCAGCTCTCCAGCAAGAATCTAAAAATGCGATGAAAAACAGTGTGTTCTGTTTGAAAAATTCAAACAACTTGCTGCTACTTTCTAGTAGAAGCGGCAACGTCGAATCGTTTGAGATATTCTAGATGTGTAGAGCATGTCAAGTTATACTAACCATGAAATTTTCAGGTTCATCTGTTGCTTGGTTTTCCAGAACCGTCTAATTAACGCTCATCGTGAATCACCCTATCACCTTGTTTAACGAGTACGGAATGATAGTCATTTTGATAAGAAATAAGCATTCCACGCAAGTTATGCACTATACTTTTTCTACGGCTGTCACAGATAACAGCGAAATTTTTGATTTATTCGGCTTGTACTCTTGAAGCCATCTGATTTTCTCTTAAGTAATGCTCATCTATCAGACAGATCTGTCATTGCTTGAAATGTGACATTTCATATGGGAGATGAGATTTTGTGGAATAATAGCAATTTTGTGTTATACAGTGTCATTCGCATAAAGTCGGCATCATATGAGAAAAACTTTTATTAATGACTTATTTTTAAATTCAAGTTGGACGTTAAGTTTTGCTTCAAAGAAGATGAAAAATGGCCTACTCAATCGGGGTCACGTGACTTTCGCTACATGTCAAAAGTGACATTTTTTCAAATTAATCGCTGAAAGTAGGCTTATTTGTTCGAATATCGAAAAAGTTCATTTGAAAAATTTGTTTCTATTCAAATTTTAGATATGTGACTCGGATTTTATCTCTCTATTATATTTTTTTGAATTTTCGAAATGTCTGTACTTGATATTAAA